TGCAGTATGCTTCGGGTCATTGTCCATCTGCACTGTAAAGCGCCGTCCAATGAGTTCTGAAGCATTTGGCTGAATATGAGCAGATAATATTGCCCGAAACACTTCAGAATTCATCCTGCTGCTTTTATCAGCAGTCACATCATCAATAAATACAAGAGAACCAGTTCCATTGGAAGCCATACATGCCCACGCCATGACACTACCACCACCATGCTTCACTGATGAGGTGGTATTCTTTGGATCATGAGCAGTTCCTTCTCCATACTCTTCTCTTCCCATCACTCTGGTACAAGTTGATCTTGGTCTCATCTGGCCATAGGATGTTGTTCCAGAACTGTGAAGGCTTTTTTAGATGTTGTTTGGCAAACTCTAATCTGGCCTTCCTGTTTTTGAGGCTCACCAATGGTTTACATCTTGTGGTGAACCCTCTGTATTCACTCTGGTGAAGTCTTCTCTTGATTGCTGACTTTGACACACATACACCTACCTCCTGGAGAGTGTTCTTGATCTGGCCAACTGCTGTGAAGGGTGTTTTCTTCACCAGGGAAAGAATTCTTCGGTCATCCACCACAGTTGTTTTCTGTGGTCTTCCCGGTCTTTTGGTGTTGCTGAGCTCACCTGTGCGTTCTTTCTTTTTAAGGATGTTCCAAACAGTTGATTTGGCCACACCTAATGTTTTTTGCTATCTCTCTGATGGGTTTGTTTTGTTTTTTCAGCCTAATGATGGCTTGCTTCACTGATAGTGACAGCTCTTTGCATCTCATATTGAGAGTTGACAGCAACAGATTCCAAATGCAAATAGCACACTTGAAATTAACTCTGGACCTTGTATCTGCTCCTTGTAAATGGGATAATGAGGGAACAACACACACCTGGCCATGGAACAGCTGAGCAGCCAATTGTCCCATTACTTTTGGTCCCTTGAAAAGTGGACCAAATGCAAATTAAAAAGCAGAAATGCAAATTAAAAAGCCGAGGTGCTGAGTTTGGTTGTAGTCTGGCATAGCTGTAGATCTGTACTTGAGAAAAAATAAATAGATCGGCAGGCTTAGAAATGACCATAAGCACATGTTGAGGAATGGATCAGTGTGTGGTGGCACTTCTTAATGTTGAAAATGAAACTTAATAACATTGTACAATCCACTCAGGAAGTGGAAGGTCCAGAGTAGATATATCTGATCTTTGGGTTTGATGAGATCCAGGCAGGGCCGGACTGGCCCACCAGAAGCGCTCCCCCTGTGGCCACCATCCAAGTTCTCAATGCGGCCGCCAGCACACCTATCTGTCTGCCCACCCACAGGTAGCAAAAAGTATGTATGTCAGTCTGTCAATGGGAGTGTGTGTGTGTGTGTGTGTGTCTGTGTCATGCTGTGTGTGTGTGTCTGTCTGTCATGGTGTGTGTGTGTGTCTGTCTGTGTCATGGTGTGTGTGTGTCTGTGTCATGGTGTGTGTGTGTGTCTGTCTGTGTCATGGTGTGTGTGTGTCTGTGTCATGGTGTGTGTGTGTGTCTGTCTGTGTCATGGTGTGTGTCTGTCTGTGTCATGGTCTGTCTGTCATGGTATATGTGTGTGTCAAGGTGTGTGTATGTCTGTCATGGTGTGTGTGTCTGTCATGGTGTGTGTGTGTCTGTCATGGTATATGTATGTGTCATGGGGTGTGTGTGTGTCTGTCGTGATGTCTGTGTGTGTTTTTAAAAATAGTGCTTTACTCACCTTTTTTTTCCCAACGTTGTGCTGGTCTCCCCTCGACTGGCCCTGCCTCTATGACTGAGATCATCAAGCTTGATGATCTCAGCCAATCCACACTGACACAGGAAGCGCCTCTAGTGACCGTCTGAGTGTCTGTCACTAGAGGTGTCACTAGGAAGCAATGTAGACACTGTGAGTGAGCTTGTGTTTTTATGTCAATGAGCTTATGTATATCAGTGAGATTGTTTGTTTGTCTATGAGGCTGTGTATCAATGAGCTTGTGTGTGTCAGTGAGATTGTCTGTGTCTGCATGTGAGTATGCTTACTGTAAAATTAAATGTTTTACTCTGAAAGGACCAATATTTTATATTAGAAAAAGCAATATATAATATATTACTCCATCATCTGGGATGGCAAGACATAGCCTTACATATTACATACGACAATATAAGGCGCAATGACTTATGGGGCTGGCATAGATTTTTTTTTTCCAGGGCTGCTTTGTACCCCCAGTACGGCCCTGGAAGAATTAACAAGTAGTTGGAATAACAAGCAAAATATAGAAACCCATGCATCTAAGGTGAAGACACTGTGTACCCAGAATTGACCAATGTCAAAGCAATGTGATCATTGGGTTTTACAGATGCATTGCTAATGTCTTGATTGGTTATGCAGGCCAACTCCAATTCCTGGAGGTTCTCTACAAAGCTGCTCCAAGACCCTGTGCTCCCAGGGATCAAGAACATAGTCCTGCCCCCCCACCAACTCTTCCCTGCCTAGCAAGATCCCACCTCTTGAAATCCTCATGTACACTCCACTGCATCTCCCCATATACCTCTGGGAATCTCCTATACCCCCAGTGCATTTCTCCAGGTAGCACTGGATCCAAAATACATCCTAGAGGGAGAGCAAAAATGCTTGCCCCCCACTCAAGTGCCACCTGGGTCCAATGGACCTACTATGACACCTGTTGTTCTGGCTCTGGTTCAATAGAAATCATTAACTCAGCTCCCAGGAACACTGCATTCTAAGAATGATTTTTCTTTAGGTTGTGAGTTAAGGTCAAGTGCATACAATCTGACAATAAAAACGTGTTTAAATTGACATTCCTAAAATCATAACAACGTCATGGGGATTAAATTGCTTTGCTGCGAGGAGGTCCCCAAGTGCTAAAACTGTTAATGAACAGTTTATCCCCAAAGTGTTAAAGCCAGCACACGATCACTCTGTCCATATCATTCTGCCTCAGTCCGAGGCTCGAATCAGGAAGTCTCGGACAGTGGAACCCCAAATAGACTAAGAGCATCAGCTCGCGGCCTATCAGGAGCTCCCCATTCACAAAACATCACTGAGAAATATATGTACGTTTCTCAAGCTATTTGGTGAATAAGGAGCTCCCTCAACACTTCTGTCCGAGGCTTCCACGTGAAGCTGCAGCAGAAGGTGACGGGAGGAGCGGTTGAGGACCAAGGACCTACTGGCACCATACACTTCACAGCTGAACTGACAAGACCATAAACTGGTTAGATTTTTCATAGAGGACGTATATTACCTGTGGAACACTGTCCAATACAATATACATTTCTCCAATCCTGTCAATGCCAAGGTTTAAAAAAGTACCACTACATCCAGGATCATGCCCAGTACAACATTTGCCAATTCAATGGGTTAAAGGCTCTGCAGTGCATTTGCAGAATTTAAAATCCTGATTTTTGCTTCTTGCTAACTGGGTGAAATAGATCAGACACCAGTACCCAAGCCTTGTTAAAACGCCCTGTGTTCCCTTACTGGCACTCTGCACAGACTATATGATAAACTGTTAATTACATACATGCATACACAGACTGACAGAGTAACAGACAGACGGAGTGTATTCTTTTAGAAAACACATTTTAACACTCCTAACTCTAATGTTCCAAAACTTTCATTTAAACAAGCATTATTTTGTAATTAGACTGAATAGCGGTTATTCCAATTTCTGCAGTTTCAGCCTTGCATAACGTATAATTGAGTGCACAAATCGTGTGTATTATTGAGCCAACAGATAGATTTATTTGGAGGACAATGTCCTGTTTGTGATAATGTCAAATAGTTGCTTGGAAGCTGAAACAGTACATGATCGTTGATGCTTGGAGATGGATTCAATGACCCAGTGCCTGGCGTTGGACACCACCTGCACCTGGGTTGCTAAAGCAATCCGTATTAAGGGCTGAGAGCACGTAATAACAGGTGCAGAGTAATGAAAAGCAAAGGAATTGGAAAAGATGTAAAACCACTCAAATAACTACAAAGACGATTAGAGCTTGATTCATTTTCCATGTACCTTGTAGGCATAACTGGTAAATGAATCATTTCTCCTATTTATAAAAGAAGAAAATAAAGCATAAAAATAGAAAATTTTCTAGCAAGACAGGTAAGCATGGATTATTATTTTTAACATATAATTCTTTCCCCTCGATACATACTACAGGGATGGTGCTTTAAATTTTGAGGTGTGGGGTAGTTTGGGTGCACTGGTGGCTTGGGGATAGGGTGAAAGGAGACTAACTTTAGAAGAACAGAAGACTAAGCATCCTTATGCAGTCAAAGAGCGGGGGAGGATAAGTATTGGGACCAAAGAACATGGCAGGACCTGGGTATTATTAGGTTAAAGGGCCTGGCTCCATTATGATAATATAATAGATATCAAATACAATTATACTGTATAATACATCTAATACAATAAGATAATATTGTAACGCCAATCCATAATGCTAGATCATCCATCCCCGATTAGTTTGAAGAAAACTATAGATAGGATCCATTTGCTGAGCTCCTGCCAGGTAAATCTTTTTCTTTTTTTTTTTTTAAGGTATTAGTGTGCTTGCAGTTATATGCCCACAAATTGTTTCATAATTTGGGACTATAATTTACCACTTCAAAAAAAAAATTCACTTATGCTGGGTAAAACCATGCAGTAAGAGTAAGTGTGTTCTGTAGGAAGTGAAATCCCATGTCAACTAAAAAATATATATTTTTTTCTAACTTCCAAACTTAACTCACATAAAGGCTGTTTTTGTTCCAGCCACCAGTAATTCGTCCTAAGTCGCACATAGGGATAGCCAAATATTTGTCCTATCCTCTAAAACATTTACCCATATTCAATTAACAGATTTTCCACCAAATGTTGCAGAAGGCACCGAACTATAAGAAGTTGGTTGAAATGAAATGTATGAAGATAAATTAACTCGGTTTTCGATTACCATGGCTGCCAAAATTACCAGAAGAATTAAGCAAAAAAAGAGAACCTGCTATTTAATAATCAGTGGTGTTGTTTTATTGACAGAACATAAAAAAATCAGATAAGAAGTACTTGTTGCATAATATATTTAAATAAACATAGCAAAATTTTAGTTTTTTTTCTGTTTGTTTCTTTAAATAATGGACAGTGCCAGAATATAAATTCGACATACATTTTAAAAACTACAATAAATAATGATATTGTAAATAGCACTAAAAGGCCACTTGTATAAAATTTGTGTTCCCTTATCAACCAAAATCTGAAAAGCAATATAATAAACATAAACAGAGTCAGTCGTGAGCAAGGCACAAATACTCATTATAATCTTATGCCCTATGACGAAAGGAAACCAGTTACAGTACTGTCAAGAAAATGCCAGATGCAGAAATACATTTTTATTTACTGTGTGAATCTTTGTTGGTCATGGGCATGTTAGTGCAACCAAAAGTATGATAACATTAATTTTTTTTTTTTTTTTTAAATCAATATTTCAAAATTTAAAATTAGAAAAACAAAAGAAAACATTAAGTAAAAATAAAACTACAAATAAAATGACATTCAAATATTTGGCTTTTGTTTGGAGCACACATGGGAATAAATTTTATTTTGGAAGATGCATTTGATTAATCTCTAAATATAACAGTAATTTACTTTTGGACTATTGATTATTATTTCCCGTAGTGTTCTTAGTCTTTCACATAACCGAACATGATATAAACCAGTCAAACAGTGAATTATTTGGTTGTATCTTAATATATAAAATGGTGGTTAAGTGGTTTTGTTGTCATCCAAACATTTGATATTGGAAGACACACACTCTAAGGAACCTCAACCATTGAATTAAGGCAAAATAGCCAATCATCTAGCAAGAATAAAAAGGAGTCTATTCCAGACAAAAAGTAACAATGTTTCAGCTCTAGAACACCTTTATCATGGCTACGCTACTCTTCACTTGTCCTTTTTACTACTGCAAAGCACCCGGTCCTTTTGCTTTGTACAAATATTAAAATAAAATAAACACAACATAAAACACAAGGCCATCTCCGTCTTCACAACATATCAAACCTGGAAAATTATTTATTGTTATATGAATAAATGTTTTGGGTTCCACTGGTGTCAGTTGAGAACAAGGTGATGAGGGTACATGGGTACATTATCACCAAGCTTTGACAATCAAAGATTGGGAAACCATTGCCTAATATGGTAAAGCTTTCTGTTTTCATGTGCAAATGATGGGGTTGTAATTTGGTGTAAGCCACTTGGATCCATTAATTGATCTTAGCTACTATAAATGTTTTCTTAGCACAGTTTATTAGTCTTTAGTAGTGTGAATTAGGAACTGTATGCATTGTCCCATAACATCCTCCAAATTAGGCTTTTTATAGAAATTCATGCGCAACGCTTGAACAGGCTTAAAATTAATGTTATGAATTCTTCTAAAATAGAAGTTTTTAATTATACATTTAATTTCAGTTCTTAACACATTTTGCAAAAAAGGATGTTCTGGAAATGTCTAGCTAAAATATGGAAGAATGTTGCACTTCACACTTTGCAATCTATAGAATGCTGACACTTTCAGATAGAGACAAGGCCAAACTGGCCATTGGGCAGCCAACCCAACCAAATGCTCAGTGTGTCCCAGACAGAGCATAATCATGGTACGTAATTTTTAAAGTAATAGAGGTCCAGGCACTCTATTACTTTATTCATTTTTGGAAATCTGGTGTTTGATTCCGGTTCAGCAAGCATCCTGGCTCAGATTTATGGGAGTGAGTGCAGTTCCACACACACTACTAAGGGTACATCATTTTTGTCACATGCATTTGGAACACATTATACCTTTGCCTACATGAGTCAGCCACAGGGTACTATTTAGATTATTTGTACCATGATAACAGGTGTGCAAGCCATAAAAAGAAATGATATCAAATATGTCTCGTGTGCGCCGGTACCGGAAGTGGTCACTGGGCAGATTCCTTATTATTCAATGTAAATTGCAAGAAGTCTGAGTTTTACAGAATAAGCTGCTGTTAGTAATTATCCAAGGTCAAACGGTTCATTAATGGAGTTACATTTTACAGGTGTCTATTCTATTTCTTCACTTAATCTAAAGAAAACAATGTCAAATATAATGATTTAAAGAGCACTGCAGACAGATAAAGTGCACATCAATATGTTGGCAGTTTACAGTTTTGAGAATACAGAGTCTGTCTATGAACTTCTGACACCTATCCAGATAAATAGAATGCCCTGAGGTAATCCGGAATATATCCTCTGTCTTGTTTATGAGCCAAAAGATATTGCAGTGAAGAAATTTATCTTAGCAACAAAGAAGCAATACTTTACAGTCCTTTGGTTTATGACCTTGACAAAAACATCTGAACTTTCATTCCAGAATAGAACATACATATTGTGTGTGGCAAGTCAAGTAGGAATTCGACAAAGAACAACTTGAGGCTTATGGAAATAAACTGAACAAGGCTTTGACATTTGGAATATCAAGTTAAGACAAAATAATGAAACCTAGTTATAAATTAGTCATTGCTCATTGGAGATGAAATATGTCCTGAATGAAAACCATGGTTGCATCTTTACTAAACAGATACATCCAAACTTGGCACTGGAGATGGTGTAGCCCTGTCAATGTCTCGTAATTTTGGAACTGTTCTCTTATGAAAATTAAAGACTCCTTAACCTAAAAGGACATCAGCTGAACAGAAGAGAAAATGTGACTGTTATTCATCTATGTAGTTTGAGTCCATCGAGTATTTACTGGAATAACTACAATATTGATCCATGCTGTGCAGTGACAAAAGCAAAATAAGACAGCATCGTTCTTTGAGTTATTTATGAAGATGGTAGGTGGGAATGGTCTCTCAGGTTCTGTAATGAAACAAGTCTCACTTTTCGGATGTTTAATTTACCAGCATCACTCAATGACTCAAGCTGTGTGTGCTCTCTTCTAGATCTGTTGATTGTGTTGTACACATTCCATTGGGCATTAATAAATAAGCTGCTTTTATAAAAGCTAATAGACACCCGATGGAGCTACATACAAGGCAACTATCTGAAAGATATCTATTGTACTTATAATTACGGGATTCAAAATCATGAAAGCCTGCTTGAAAACTGTGATCTGAAGGTGTTTTAACCTTTACCATCTGTTATCCATATCTATACCGTTACTCACTGTAAAAAAAAAAAAAAAAAAAAAGCAAAGTCACAATGTAAAGATAGAACTTAGTTGGGACATTCTCAATACTACTCAAGACCAGAACTCACCAACTTCTCTTAATTGTCCAGACGTTGGACATATGGGTAGACAGATCCACTGAATTTAATTTGGAACAATTAATAAGTGCTACATTTTAGACTTTGAGTTGCAAAAAGGTTCAGAAGACTTTACCAAGATTGCGAAATGCCAAAACCTAGCACTTATTTGTTAGATATATGAACCTGGATTCGCTGCATGTTCCAGATCTCTATTTCTGAATACAGTAAGCATGACCACCAGCAGATGAGAAGATAATACAACATAGAATCCACAGGTGCAATTATTAATTTTGAATGAGGTATGGGCAGCTGGAGAAGGGTTCTTTTAACCACCAGGACAATCTTCACAAAACATGAATTCACTTTAATGATACTTTCACATACTTGAGACTCTAAAATTAATAAAATAAGAGTGGCATGTAAGTTCAATGTAATGATGTTTTTTTTTTAATGTGTTATACACAAATAAGAATTCTGATGATATTTCCTTTTATCAGATGTTCTTGCAATATTGAGCTTTTTAAGTTAAATGATTTATTTATAATCCATTCTAAAGGTGAAAAATAAAGCCAGATGAGGAGATGAAAATGCAATAAAAAGAAACATTTGATGCTGTATTAAATGTGGAAATAATATAATACTGTAAATATCGAATAGTATTAAAGTATAGGGGAAAAACAGTATTATCAAAAAAGATGTACCGCCCTGAATACATTATTTCATGATGTTCTATTAGATACAACAATCTTTCAAGAACTATAGAGATATTTCTAAGTCAGATGTCATCAATAATAATTTTCAAGAAACCCATCTAGTGATGGTTCTAAAAGTGTCTACTGGATCAATCCTGGTAATTACATAATTATGGTAATGTTTAAATAATGTAGACTCCTTCTCAAGTCTTTGTTAACGAATGAGGTGACTCTGGGAATCCAAAAACCCTAGTTGTTCGATATATTTGACCAAGACACATTACCAATAATATGTGCATTTGTTTTGGATTGCAAACTTATATTTAGAACCCTTGCCAAGAACCCTTGCTTTTTTACCTAGGATTTATTTTAGTCTGTAAAGAGACTAATTTTTCTCTCCATTTGGTCAATTTTGTATCTCTGAAGACAGACTGAATGTAGCAACCTCCTTCCTTTCTCCCGCAAAGTACAGAAAGTTTTGATGGATAACTTTCCTGATGCATTCTAATAAATAATAAGAAGAAAGTGTGGTTCTGAACACATTGAGTGCATTTTAGGGATTATCTGTAGGTTTCTGAGGGAGTTTACACAGCTAAAAGACAACCAATATTGTTACTGTATCTAATGTAAAGGAAAAGATTGTACAGCAAATGTAGTATATGCACCTGCACCGCAATCCCACATTAATAAACTCAACACATTGTATAACTCGTTCTGCTGATTTGTGCTACAATGTAATTACAGGACCCAACATTGTGACATGCTAAAAGAACTAAACTGGCGTTCGCTGGAATCCAGACGCACCCTTCATCTTTCCAGCCTTGGCTTTAAGAGCTTTTCTGGGGAGCTCCCACCCTACCTGAGCAGAATGCTATCCTCGGCGGTTCCCACCTCCTATAACCACCGATCCAGTACCAACACTTTATTTAGTCTACCTCAATACAAAAAGAAAGCGGCCCGATCCTCCTTCTCCTACAGAGCGCCGCAATTATGGAACGACCTCCCGCACAATTTAAAATCTTCCCCAAGCCTAAAGTCCTTTAAGAGATCCCTCTCTACATACCTCAAAACAGAATGCACGTGGCATGGTTGATTATATATTTCCTACCTGTTCTATGTTAAATTGTGTATATATTGTGTATTAATATTGTTTTTGTATTTTATTGTACCCTATTGTATCAATGCAATGTTTTGTGGACCCAGGACATACTCCATGTTTTTGCAAGTATGGATCCAATTTATGTTTTAACATCTCAAAGAGACTGCAAATCCACCTGTGATTTCTGAGTGAATGTGCAAATAAAATAAAATTCAAAAACTTAGCTTATAAGTACACAGCTTCCCAAAGTTATCTCCCAGATGATAACCATACAGCATAGATATATACAAAATGGATAGTTTAGGGATTCTGCTAATGTACCTAAAATAAAGGATAAAACATATTGCAATATTGTCTTAAAATAATCAACAATCTGATGTTATATTGCACTCACAAATTTCAGATGGTCAGAGCGTTTTATAGGTGCCACCCTCAATGTTGTTAGGGGGCTTGGGTTTCCTCCTTTAGTGATAGCCGTCGGACACCTAGGCCGGTATGATGGTTCACACATCTCTAGCTGAAAGGATGATCCACCAGGAAATAGTGCAGATGGAATTAAAACTACAAAGAATTTATTACAAAATGCACTTAAAAAGGTCCAGGTAAAACACATCATATAATCCACTAAAAGGTGGAGATAAAAGTACAGCAAGAGAGTCCCCAGTGTAGTGGATTATATGCTGTGTTTTACCTGGAGCTTTTTAAGTGCATTTTGTAATAAATTCTTTGTAGTTTTAATTCCATCGGCACTATTTCTTGGTTTCTTTATTTTATAAGTGATAAAGAAGATTTTCTCCATATAACTTTGAAGACCACTTCTGATTAAGGATGATAGGCCTGATATTCACTTATATTTTGTGAGTTCAATATATACATCCTGCGTGTTTAGACATTTATACTTTTATCATTCTATGTGCGATTTATTTATCTTTTTATAGATATTGTCCACCACGCTGTTACATTATAAGGGTTGTATATTTTCATTTACACCTTAGAAGTGATTACTTCACTCTTTTTGCATTCCTACTTGTTTGGTTTGTTTTAGGATTGTATTGGTGTTTTAGAGGGCACACTTTCTTTAGTAGGTTTGCTTGTATATGTATTTTTAGTGGTTTGGTATTTTCTTTGGTGTATAAACATATAACATACAAAAAAAATCTAAATCAACATAAATGTATTCATCCAAATAGGTTAAAAAAGCAAATTGTAGCAAATTCTGTTAAAAATCCAAATGTTCTAATCACATTGATACAAAAAAAAATATTTTTGTAGTAAAACAATCGTTATGTTAAAATTTCTTCTTATTACTTCAATTGCATTTTTAATATCTGGGGCTGGAGTCGGTTCATTGTTGGGAGAAAATCCCAACACACAAAAAAACTATAGGCCATACCTAGTCTCCTGGTCTTGAGTGCTTTGTACCACCCCCTTCCTTAACCCATTAAGGACACACGACATGTGTGACATGTCACGATTCCCTTTTATTCCAGAAGTTTGGTCCTTAAGGGGTTAAACTATGATGTCAACAAACAAAGAACGTCTGTACACACCTAAACATACCTTCAATAGTTTTAAAGAGGGGAAAGTCTTCTTTAAAGTTTTGAAACTAATGAAACATAATACAGGGAATTGTTCTAATACTTAACATATACCTGTGCAATATCAATTTCTATATTATATTATTCTTTTTTTTATATTAACATTACATTTATATTTTAATATATTTTTAATCACTCACCCTTTCCAGAAATATTGAGAAGGATAAAATGTTTGCAGAATATATGCTATCACTTACAACCATAATGGCTACCTTCATTATGCATAGTTATGCTAAACTCACCGCCGTACACTACTTATTATTATCCAGCCTGCAGATAATCACTGTAGTGCATTAACTGTGTTCAGAGCCCCCTTCCCTTCTAATCATAGAGACTGCTCAAATGCAGCTATAGGATTTGACCTTCAAAAGTTGCTGTAAAGTATGGATGGAGGGAGAAGGGTCAAGGAGGTGCAAAAAGGTTTTTCTGAAAAAAGTTGATGAGTCAAAAACAAATTGTTTGGAGGGATTCAATATATATATAAAGTAATGATAGCACTCCAAGGACTTCGAAAATATTGTGAAAAAACTCCTGACGACAGTTCCTTAGAGAACTGAAACATTGATCTTCTGTGGCAGATGCCTGAATAAAAAGCTAAGTTTTTTCACAATATTTTCGAGGTCCTTGGAGTGCTATCATTACTTTATTTCTATTATTTGGCTTTTAAGCACCGGGTTTTTTACTATTAATCCAGGAGGGCAAGCAATTGGAACTTATATATATATATCATACAGTTCTTGAATTATTTTATTCTCTCCATAGACCTGTACAAAACAAATTATATTTGTATGATTGCTGAAAAAAAAAGTTGCAACACAATCCAGGAATTTTAATGAAACATATTGTAACCTAATAGGAAGTAGTTTATATTACTTGTAAACCCTTGTATCTTGTGACTAAATAATATTTGCGCCAGTTCACCTTTTGTGCTACTAGAACAGTTCCAAAAATATTATATTCATATATATATATTAAAAAACAGTTTTCAATGAATGTTGGTAATACAGCATGATAAAAGGCATATAGCTGATGAAGTGGCTTAATCGTTTTGCTTTTTTAATATTTCTGCATACTGTCAAATTTATATCCTTCACACCCCAAAGAACAAAGTGCATCAGGTGCTGCTTGCACAAAATACGAATGTGGAAAGTGGATTAAAAATTGTTAAAAAAAAAAATACTGACAATGCAAAAATGACAGGTTGTGCAAAAGTGGAAAAAATTCATCATCTACCATACCCATTATCTCCCTAAAATAATTTTTGTTCCTAGTATCAATCTCTCAGAGTCTCTTTCTTCAGACTGGTATTGTAACCCATATTTTGCAAGTCACTTATTGAATAAAGTCCAGTGTATCCCTGGCCTGACAATTCTATCAATATTTTCAATCTTTTTACAAAGCAAATAAAAGTACTTTAGTTATAAAATATTTTCAACTTTTTAAAAATTTATATCTATAGAAAAGTATGTCAGAGAGAGTTGTTAATTTTCGTCCTAATTTGGACTACATGAACTACACGTACAGAAAAACTGGGCACTGAAGAAATGTCCATTGATGGATGCATCAATTTAAATCATTTTTAATATTTCTCAAGATATAATAGAGAAGTATAAAATGTATCAGTGCAATAATTATTCTTCAACAGATATTTTATAAAAAATAAAAAAAAGTGAAGCATAGTTGACACAATGGTCAATAACGTTAAGAAGTGTACCAAAAGGGAGGTGAAAAAGCTTAATTAAATGCATCTTAATAGTAAGTCAGGTCTAGGATTATTATTAAATGTGATCATTTCTCCTATTGTCATTCACAAGGTTTGCTCATATACAAAGTTAAAATAAGTAAAGGTCACCTTTATAACACTATTACAATTAGTGTTGGGAAGATTTATAGTTGTAAAACAGAAGAAATAAAACAGAACAATCTGAAGGAGTAAAACAATTTAAGTTAAATGAGTTAAGGATTGACTTTACTTTGCTTGGAAATTAGATGCCTGTTGTCTAATACTGAAAATGTTTTTGGAACTGCAAACGTTAATAGGGAAAATGGCAGATGAGTATATCCTATAAATAAGTGGGTATGGGTAAGACAATGTCATGTCCTATAGCAGAGGTACGCAACCTTTGCCAGCATGATGGCTGTAAGGGAATTATGAGAAATGTAGTTCACAGCATCTGGATTGTCCTAAGGAACACTGCAGGAAACCACATTTGCTTCAAATTTAACGATGACATGCTTGATTTTGAGAGTAAGGATTCTCTTATTGAAGATCTACAGTAAAACACGACAATTAAATGACACCCTCCCACTACATATATATATATACCAAAGGAGTTGTGGTGGGGAAAAAAGTGTGGATGAAAACCCCTTCCACCTGAAGGAAGTGGATAGTTAATACATTGCTAAACGCAAATACACACACCGGGTAAGCCATAATACTTGCTTTTCCCACAGAAATATCACTTTAACAGTGTTCTCACTACTGCAAGGGATTCTGGGTAGTCGTATGCAAATCTTTAACAAAGAACCACATTTTTGCCTCAATTCCACGTTATACATGGATTCCTTGGAGTATGTGTCTGCTGTATACAACAGCATTGAAACACAACTCAGGAAGAGGCACAAAGCCAGTGTACCGCTCATGGACAGTTGTTTTGTGTAAAAATGTGGTATTCTGTTGAGCTCATTTGCATACGCCGACCCAGAATCCCTTTGCAGTAGTGAGAGCACTGTTAAAGTGAGATTTCTGTGTAGAAGCAAGTCTTATGGCTTGACTGGTGTGTGCATTTGTGTTTAGCAATTTATTAACTATATATATATATATATATATATATATATATATATAAATATATATAAATATATATAAATAAATATAAATATATATATAAATAAATAAATAAACCTGGAGGGCACTCGCTGGACTTACTTTCAATCAAAATATTTTTTTCAAAAACTTTGGTTAGTTTATAGCATTGACGTTTCAATTCTGAACTTTCATCAGTATAACCAGAAATATGAATTAACTATAATTAAAAAAAGAAAATATATTTAAATTGAAATACATTTGTTCATTGGGGTGTTTTAAGTATTTATCTTCAGTTTAGAGCTGACAGAAATTTTACCAGAGGCTCAATATACAGACATTATGAAGAACTAACAAGGAAATTGAAAAACAATTAGCCAAGATGGGGAACTTTTACTGTTTGGCTATTTTGCCCAAACGTTTGAGATAATTACCTTATCAATTTTCCAGAATATCAGTTTTTTCCTGACTTTTGACTCACCTAAATTCCACACAGTTTGCAAAAATAAACATTCTATTGGTCACTAAGCTTACTGTACCAAATTTAAAGTGTCTCTGTTCCAAAATGAAACTTTATCTAATCTGCTTTCAATATTTTCCTGAATTCAGTCGTTTTCATAACATACATAAACAAATGTATTTATTACCTTCCTTTATGTATAGCAGTCAGGTTGACAATACTTGACAAAGGGCGGAGCTTAAAGCATGGTTCTGTTTCAGTTGCCAATCAAATTTACCCACAATCAATCAGTAAAATAAATCTTACAGAAGGGCAAACAGAAGTAAGAGAAGACAATAAACATAAAGGCAAGTAGCAAGGGTGAGAGTATAATCATCAACATACAGAGAGAAAAGGAAAGAAAAACCAAAAGAAATAAAACACCACAGAACTGTTTTAAGTAAATGGAAAGTCAGCAAGTCAACTTTTCCAGAATATAAATATGAATGAAACACCTGCCCAGAAGCCCATGTTTAGCAGGACACTTAGAAGACAGCTATCATGACTCAATGTTGTTGAGGCAACAGTTATCCAATCCATGCCTCCATGCTGCCCAAACCTTATTGGTAATGTTATGATGATGTAATTTGGGATCTGCAAATCTGCATTATATAAAGTAGTATCTCTAAAAAAATGTTTTAACTATCCTACACCTACATGTAATCTGCAGTAGTGGTATCAGGCAGAATGTCCAGACAGTAAAGTAGCCATAGTGTAACTAGAACATAGTTTACCTTTATAGTCCACACTTTTTAAATTTACCACAAACCTGAGCAATGAAAATATAATATTCAATGTTCCAATCACATCATCAAGTCAATATCTGTACTAAAAATTACAACCAGTAAATGTTATAGAGGAGAAACGTTTAAAAAATCCCCCATTTGCTGCTGGTTGTCTATATATATTTGTAAATCCAATTTTCTCAAAATATATGCTGAAATATAAAAAGGTAGGTTATAATGAATTTTCTTCCATTCCATTTGATATATATCATTGGTAAACATTAGGTGTGATGAATGCGTACATAAAGTTTAATTTAGCAATATTTAAAATGTTATAGATCATGCCTAACAGGCTTCCGTGTGATAATGTACGCCATCCAATCACGGTCATGTGGAACTTTTTGAGTCTGGCTTACAGGTTTAAACCAATATCACTTTAAAGCATAACTAAAGAATAATAATCTCAGAATCCCTCAGAACATCATAAAACAGATATAGTAGAAATTACAAGTAATTAATGAATAGCAACATTTTAAGCACGATATGGAAATTTGTCACTCTCACTTAGGTAATTGAGACCAATAACCAAATCCCTATAAGATATTAACCAAATTTAATAAATCCTTTTGGTACATCTATTGGTAAATAAATAAAAAAAATGCCCATTGACCATGGTTTTAAAAATAATAATATTAAAAAAGAAAAAAAAAATTATAGTCAAGAATGAAAAAAAGAATATGATTATTCTACTCTACCGGAACAAAATATATATATATATACAACCAAGTTTCTTTCTGCATAGATCCACTCATAGAATAGTTATGTGTCATATAATTACAAAAAAATATATTTGTAACATTTATATTGTGTAAATGCATGCAAATCATGCTCCTAACTGAAAACGGCTTCATTTCAGTGGTATAAATCTCAAAAAGTAATTATAAAATTATGTGAGATGATGCAGTGACTATCACTTTTAAACATGCACCATATTTAACCATTGGTGTAAAGTATTCAACTTTGGAAAGTGTATAGTGACATATACAAAGAATAAATACAGAGTAAGAAAAGGTAATCCCATTATCAATCTAAACCGGTTTAGTAGGTGTCCACACTGAATCTGAAATTCCATCTCCCGTTGAAGACAAAGTCATAGGCCCACTTGGTGTAAAAGGGTCTGTATCTGTGTCTGTTTCACCTTCAGCCAAGTACCGTTTCTCCCTCATCCAGCTTGAGCAATTTGGACCAAAACTGAAATCCTCCTTTTCTTGAGAGATACTGAAACCACTAGGAGACCTCTGTAGCTCATCATGATTAACAGAGAGAAGGGACAACGGGGTGTCACTGTCCCTTGTACAACTTCTCTGCACTGGGGAAACTCTTTCTGAATATGGACTTGAGGCTTCTCCTTCATGTTGATAATTTACCCGAGTGTCTATTAAGGTATGAATAGGCAAAACTGTTGGTCTTTCTGTGTAGGTGGATAAAGATTGCATTGCTGTCCTCGTACAGTTTTCGCCAGTAAAAGGCATTGGGTTAGCAAAAGGATAATTTTCAAAGAATCCGTACTGGTTCATTTTATTGAGTGAAACTTGGTTTAAATTATAAGGATTTGCATGTGAGCATGATTCCGTATAATTATAAATTAATCTCCCCATGTCAGAATATCCACTTTCTCCACCTTCTTCTTCTACTGTGGCTTCCCTTAGTGGATAGTATTCCGTGACCTGGACCTGGAGTTGATCTAATTGCTGCATGTGCATATCAACAAGGAAATCCAATTTCTTTTCCATATCTTGCACCTGCAACATAAATATAGAAATAAGTCAAACACATAGTCGAGGATACGTAGGGCTAGATTCTATTAAACAAGTTAAGTTTATCTCTTCTGAGTAAATATTCTGACTGACATCTCTAGGAAAACACAATACAATAAAATCACCTAACAAAGTCTAGCCCATAATGTGTTCAGAAATTTATATATATATTTTTTTCTCTTACATAATCAATTATATTATAATTTATATAATTGCTAGAATTGAAAGCCCAAATAGCAATGTTTGAAAAGTTTTTTAGTTCATAATTCTTTTTTTATTTATTTGTCCTAAATATTTTTTCGGTTCCAACTGTATCTCATTATATCTTCATTTCCATATGTTGATTAATACGTTGACTTAATATCAACTCAGTAATGAAAATGTTAATGTATCTGGTAGCAAGACATTATCAGCAGATCATTTACATTCTGCAAGTTGCCAGGTGGGGTCTCCTTGGATCGCATGTGTTGTTCCAGCACATCCCATTGATGCTCAATCAGATTGAGATCTGGCAAATTTTGAGGCCAAGGCAAAACCTTGAACTCTTTGTCATGTACCTTCAACCATTTCTGAACAATTTTTGCAGTGTTGCACAGTGCATTATCCTGCTGAAAGAAGCCACTGCCATCAGGGAACACCATTGCCGTGAAGGGCTGTACGTGGTCTGCAACAATATCTAGGTAGGTGGTACATGTCAAAGTAACATCCACATGAAAGCCAGGACCCAAGGTTTCCCAGCAGAACATTTGCCAGAGCATCACACTGCCTCTGCCAGCCTGCCATCAACCCATAGTGCATCCTGATACCATCTGTTACTAAGGTAAATGATGCACATGCACCCACCTATCCACCTAATCTAAAAGAAAACGTGATTCATCAGACCAGGCAACCTTCTTCAATTGCTCCATGGTCCAGTTCTGATGCTCACATGCCGATTGAAGGCACTTTCTATGCCCCATACGCAGCACACTGCGATGCACTGTGTGTTCTGACACTTTTCTATCATGGCCAGCAATGCGGTATTCAGAAATTTGAGCTACAGTAGCTCTTCTGTAGCTCTTCTGTGTGATCGCACCAGACGGGCTAGCCTTCGCTCCCCACGTGCCTCAATGAAACTTGGGCGCCCAGTTCACCGGCTTTCATTCCTTGCATTATTTTTGGTAGGTACTAACCACTGTATACCCGGAACACCCAACAAGACTTGTCATTTTGGCCAATTGTGATGGTTAGTCGTCTAGCATCACTATTTGGCCCTTGTCAAATTTACTCAGAACTTTTCACTTGACCATTTTCCACATGAAATTCATTTGCTGCCTAATATAGCCCATCCCTTGACATGTGCCATTGTAACAATATAATCAGTGTTATTCACTTGACCTGTCAGTGGTTTTATTGTTGTGGTTGGCTAGAGTATTTTATTTATGATTTTACACACATTACCATCTCTGACAACAAATGTACCTACCATCTTAATTCTGATTCTCCTACACTAGGTATAATGTGATACTCTGTGCTAGACTTATGAATGGTAAAAAAAAAACTGTTCTACTAAATAATTTTTAGATAGAAACATTTTCAGGGCACCCAAATTTCGGACAGATGTTTGTTCAGCTTGACTGAATTTTGATCTGGGAACTGAATCAGGTCAACATACCAAAAAGGTTTGAAAATGGGCCAATCAGTTCGCAACAGAATATATACAAAATATTATATTTTACATTACATAATTCTGTACATTTATGTGCAGTTTACTGACATTTGGTTTACAGATCAAGTGAGAAAAAGTAACCTATAAAGAATTAAACATGTGGGGCAGTAAAAAATAAAATAAAATCAATATTTATATATTATATAGTTTTTAAACAGATAATATATAGATTTTTTTTTTGTTTTCCCCTCTATTGCTCACTTCTCACTTGATCTGTAAATAAAATCACAATTTTGTGAGTGTTCCCTAGCCATCAATCATTTCTTTCCCATCAACCATCTAATTTTTTTGGAGCTACAGGTGGAATTCAATATGTTGATCCCCCTCCCCAAAACACGTTCAGCACTTTTCGTTTCAGTGTGTGATCAGTCTGAACTCTGCTACAGAATCAAACGAAGATTAGTGACCCAAGATGAAAAGCCACGGACCAAGATTTCTTGAATGTTCTTTACAGAACATATGTGATTGTGTGTACACATGAGACTAATCTTGTTCTTTAGCGGTAATCACCTGAAATATCCGAAGTAATTTTTCTAAGGTGGTCTGCTTTTTGTAGATGAGAACTAGAGATCTTGATTGTGTGTATTTGATGTAATATGTACAACTATAAACAAGGGTTTCAATGTTTCAGAACAACTGGTGGTGTTTTTTATGGTACCTGTCTCTCTACTTTCACAAATTTTCCCATCATACTTTGGTCTTCAATATCGGAGGTTTTGGATCCATAAGGTTCGTGCCTAGAAATAAAGAATGTAACCACAAGTGATTGGTGGCAAACATTATCTACAAAGAGAGTAGTATTCATTGTATGATTTGATTTTATCAGTAAACTGCGCAGGCATTTAAATGTCCCAGAGTGCTCACATATTTAATATTTTGTTGATACACTTTGTATATATACCTTGTTCATTGATACACACTTAATATGTTTACAAGCTATCGAGAAGCTGGAGAATAATAATTATATTATTTTACCAAGAATAATGTAAAAGTTTTACAAAAGTTAAAAGATAATGTTTTCAGGTCTGGTGAATGGTGCCACCAGTGATGCCCATATAACCCTCCACTATCCTACCAGTGATCCTTGATTGACATATAACTTTGTCTTCCCACCCTCCTATATTGTCAACAAGAGACCGCTAGTGACAAAGTAAATCTGTTATCCATTCTGAATCAAATTTACAACATCAGATTGCTTGTTGAAACTATGTACATGAGGGATAGCATAGAAAATATTAATTATTTATTTTGTATGGGACATACTATGACAGAATGCTTGCTGGACTGTATATATAATTCATGCATTGGAATTGGTGAATTATATTTTCTACGCGGTAGAACTCTTGCTGAAAACATATATATATATAAGTCATGCAATATAACCTGCTAACATGTGAATAAATCTGCTATGGTGATCTCTATAACATTGCACAGCATTTTAGTGTATATCTCGTCACACCTTGGAGACTGTTGTGAAGGAAAGCCATAACCTCCACCAAGTCCTCCCAGTCCTTTCTGTGATTTCTTATGCTTCGGTGTAGAAAGGGAGGCAGGACCCGGAGCAAAGACCATATCT